GTCGTTATAATAGAAATTGATTTTTTTCCATAACGAGTATATTCGTCGTTACAATAGACATTGCTATTTCTCCATGACGAGTATACTCGTCGTTATAATAGAAATTGATTTTTTTCCATAACGAGTATATTCGTCGTTACAATAGACATTGCTATTTCTCCATGACGAGTATACTCGTCGTTATAATAGAAATTGATTTCTTTTCATAACGAGTATATCGTCGTTACAATATAAATTGTTTTTTCTCCATGACGAGTATACTCGTCGTTACAATAGAAACTGATTTTTCTCTATGACGAGTATACTCGTCATTGCACTAGAAATTGCTATTTCTCCATGACAAGTATACTGTTCATTACAATAGAAATTGTTTCTCCTCCATGACAAGTATACTCGTCATTACAATAGAAATTGCTACTTCTTCATGACGAGTATAATCGTCATCACACAAAATATTGCTATTGCTTCATGACGAGTATAATCGTCATTACACAAGAAGTGACAAGCAGGTCGAGTGTATTCGTCATTACACAAAAAAAAATGGTAAGTAGGACGAGTATATTCGTCATTACATCAAAAAGCACCATGGAAAACGAGTATACTCGTCATTACAAAAAAGATTGCCATTCCTTCAGGATATGTCTTTATCACGAATTTTCATTCTTTTCATTATTAGTATACTCATTATTATGGAAAAATCGCAATTTATTCGCCGACGAGTATACTCGTCTGAAAAATTGAAACTTTCTCATAACTAGCACACCCATCATCAGTCAATAAATCGCCACGGAGCCCGAGTATACTCGTCTACCCACAAGATAATTGCCATTTCTTAATGACGAGTATACTCGTCATTCACAGAAAAATAGTTTCAGAAAGGTGTCCCGAAAATGAAATACTTTCACGAATCTTTCTCCGCTGGAAGTATGTGCGAACTTTTGCAAATTGCATCGATTCGTAATTACGTATTGCCGAGAATAATCAGGTTTTAGTATTTGTTTTTTTCTAGCGTCGGATAATTTTGAAGTCTCCTTTACGATCGCCGCCGTAGGAAAATTGCACATGATTGCGCGAACTTTCGATAATCATCGTTGTAATTCAACCCGGGGCGGATTGAGCGCCGGAAGTGCGACGTTCGCGCGCCATCGAAAATATTCCGAGCGCGTGCGTCGGCCATTTGCCGCTCCTCAATCTAACGTAATTTTCAATGGCCGCGAATTTTCCGTTCTGATAAAATTAACCGATCGTCCGGTTGAATATGCTCGCCGTTGACCAACGCTGATATCCACCGATTTTTTTACAACTCGTTATTAAATTATCAACTACACTTTGGTTAACAAATGAACGGTCTAACAAAGGCTTTGCACACGAAAACTGACTCTCCAGAGAATAATATATTCTCTGGACCATATTACTTTATTATAAACCGACTTATAAACTAAGAAATAATTGTACAAATGTGTCCCACGATAGTAAACAATCTGTATTTATTGACGGTTCCATTTCTCTATCATGTATTTTATTTTAAGTCTGTGTGCGAAACTGTACGTTTTTATCTTGGCAAAATATATTAATATATTATATTATTAACTTTTTTTTATACAATTACTCGCCTAAATCTTATTAATTATTTAAGCAATCGGTAGCTTGAAATTTCATAACTTCAAAATTTCTAACCTTAAAATTCCTTAATCGTTATAAACATAGTTTAGGTATAGTTTAGGTACACGTTAGGTCTGGGTTAGGTCTGAAATGAAAAATTGAAAATAATTGATCAGTATCGTTTATCTAATCCAGATCTAACCTTAAAATGCCTCCAACGTTATAAGTATAGGTTTGGTCTAAAATTTCTAACCTTAAAATTCCTTGAACGTAATAAGTATAGTTTAGATATGGGTTAGGACTAAAATATAAAATTGAAATTAGTATATCAGTATTGCTTACCTAATCTAGATCTAACCTTAAAATGCCTCCAACATTATAAGCATAGGTTAGAACTAAAATTTCTTAATCGATATAAGTATAATTTAGGTATAGTTTAGGTATAGATTAAGTATAGCTAAGGCATAGGTTAGATATAGATTAGGTATAGGTTAAGAATAAAATTAAAAATTGAAAATATCAGTATTGTTTACCGATGTAAATATTTACTCAATTCTAATCAGGACTTAACCTTAAATTGCTTCGAACGTTCCAATTACAGGTTAAGTTTAAGCCGTGTGCATACAATTTTGCTCGTCGCTGTGTTCCATCCAAAAGGACCAGACTGTTTGAAGAAATTCTTTCTCAGACGATAATTCTCGTTCCGCCGGCATTTGCTTGAGAATTCGTCTCGGAGATTAATTTCCGGCAAAAACATAAATTCGCGCGAACGATCGCGGTCCAGCAGCCGTCCCGGCGGCTCTTCCTTCGGAATTATTTCCCAGAGCGTAATCACATTTTCGTAATTAATGGGTTCCCGGGACTCCGTCGGCAAGATGGCCGCGGCCGAAGAAACGACGCGGCTCGGCGCGGCGGCGGAGGGCTGAAAACCCGTTGACCATGTCCAAAACTATTTTAGCGTTCATAAAAGGGTTAAGGTCATGGTGTAGTAGGTCATTGAATTCGTCTCGACACCAACTATAATATAATCGGGTCAACAATATATGGCAGTATTAACAAAATCGAAACGATTTCAGTTATTTATAACAAATATTTTGTTTCTGAAATTTCATATATAATATCAAAATTTGTCGAAGAATTAATACTGACGAACTTTTGCTACATTTTGTTACCAGATCGTCGGGAATTTGTGAAAAATCGTCCAAAGCCTCGGTCTTGTTAAAATACACGTAGAATTCAAAGTTGCAGGAAGTTGCACTCGAAAGGGACGCGTACATGTTAACAATAATGCAAACTTTCATATAAATGATATCCGATGTCCATCACTTTTAATCAACGTTTAATAAAAGCTTCCTCAAGTTCCAAATTGCTAAAAGCTTAACATTTTCACCAGTTAAAAAATTCTTATAAAATGCACAAGATAACTGAAATGTTGAATAATATATTTATTCAATAAATTTTATTATAATAAAATTTAAAATAATAATTATTATTAAAATAAAAATTATTTTATTATAATAAAATTTTTCATTCGAAACGTTATTCGGATTCAATTTTATTCGAAGGATTTACATATTCGAAATGTATTCCTCGGATAAAATTTGATGGAATGAATTTATTCGAAAGATTATCCGAATAAAGTTTTATTGGACAAATTTATTTGAAATATTACTCGAATAATAAATTTCATTCGAAGAATCCGCTCGAATGATGTCGAGCTCTGTGCCGAAGGGCTGAAAACTCGAGCGATCGCTCGAGCCTTTGCAAAACGAAGAAGGGCGTGCATGGCCTCGCCGTGCCGCGAGAAAATTCCGCGCATCCTGCGCGTGTCTGACCTCCTAGCAGTTATTCCTGCCGCCCACCCCAGCTCTGTTTCCCGCTATCCCCCATTTTCCGCGCGCCTCCTTTTCGTCCTTTTTTTTCCGGCTGTCGACGGAGCGGGCCGAGATACTTTTATTTCATGGCTGCCGAGGCCGTATTCGCGTTCCAACGACACACGGTTTAACCTATATCGCTCCGTCCTTGATAACCAGTTACCATCTCCCGTAAATCGCTTCCCGTTTTGCGCGATATTCTTCAGCGCTCGCTCTAGATCGCCTGTGAATTGGCCGTTGTACGTTACACGCTGGCCGATATTCTCCGTTTCGCGGTCAAAAATCGTTTTCGAGAAAATTGTTTACCTTAACGGATGTTCTAAATTTGGGATATTTCACTACGGTGTCCAGTTAAGTCGCTTTATTTCGTCACTGAAACTAGGAATCGTGCGGTAAGGTTGGAAATGTTCACTACTTTTTACTATTATTTTTAATAAAAATGACGAATCATGTGAATTGATGCTGAAACGAATTTTAGAGAAAAATGCAAACTGATGTGCTGCGCCCTATGTTGGCTAAGTTAGCTCTGAGTTAGATCTCTAGGTTAGGTATCAGTTTAGATCAATTTCAATTTTTTAAAATGACAAGTATATACACTACTATTCATGATTAGCATATCGCAGATAATTATTATGATGAGATGAGTTTAATGTTTATATCTAGATTAGATCTGTATTAGGTCAAGATTAGGTCAGATTAGGTCTAAATTAGATCTAGATTAGGTTAGATTAGATCTAGGTTAGATGTTCTAAATTTGGGATATTTCACTACGGTGTCCAGTTAAGTCGCTTTATTTCGTCACTGAAACTAGGAATCGTGCGGTAAGGTTGGAAATGTTCACTACTTTTTACTATTATTTTTAATAAAAATGACGAATCATGTGAATTGATGCTGAAACGAATTTTAGAGAAAAATGCAAACTGATGTGCTGCGCCCTATGTTGGCTAAGTTAGCTCTGAGTTAGATCTCTAGGTTAGGTATCAGCTAAGATCAATTTCAATTTTTTTTTAAATGACAAGTATATACACTACTATTCATGATTAGCATATCGCAGGTAATTATTATGATGAGATGAGTTTAATGTTTATATCTAGATTAGATCTGTATTAGGTCAAGATTAGGTCAGATTAGGTCTAAATTAGATCTAGATTAGGTTAGATTAGATCTAGGTTAGATCTAGGTTAGGTTTGAATTTGAATCAATTTCAACCATAAAATACAACGTACATACCTTGACATACACCAAATACAAGCATAATTAATTTCATACTTTGGACAGATTATTTGATTCGATTCACATTCATTATTTAAACATTATATGTAGAACAAATAAATATTTCTGTCAAGATTTTTCTAAGATTTCCAAAAAATTAATTCTTCTAAAATTTCTTGTAGCATTAAAAATAACGGCTACGTCATCATGTACGAAAATGAATGAAACACCCCGTACAGCTGAAATTTGCAAAAAACACTGAAACGAAATAATATACAATTTTTAATTTTTTTTTAATGAACAACAATTCTGCTCCTATAAAACATTTTTATTTTCCCTCGTATTTAATAGTTCAAAGATATGCAGCTCCTTGAAACAAATTCGACGACGTATTATACTATGACCTTGAACTTATAAATAACACAAAATTAATTCTTACGACGTTACGATGATGACCGGCCCGCGTGAAATTACATTACGAATGAACAAAAGATCCGTATCGTTGTCCCAAAACGTAAGCGCTATAAAATAATTTACAATTCATATAATTTATATAATACAATGACATATACCAATGACGTTTGTAAATGGCGCAACGCAGCGATGGAATTTTTTTTCTGAATGTATAATTATCCACTATTATTCAGCAGCAACTCTTTGCCACATTGTGCCGCGTTCTTTTCTTCATTGAACGATTGAGAAAGAACGTAACGAGCCACGAAGAGATAATGTCGAATGGAAACAACGAGTCAATTCATCTTTCTGCGCGGATGGTCGATAACAATATTGTAGCAGCAACGCGAATAATGGTGCTGTGGGTCACCGTGCTCGTATGAATTTTAACCGCAAACGTTCTTTTTTTTCTATCCCACGAAAGACGTATGAAAGTGTTACAACAAGTTGGTCGATACGCGCGCGATAAATTTGCGGAATGCGTAAATATGCGTCGTCGTGATTACCGACCTTGGGGAAGTGACGACTGCTATACTTAGGAGCAATTTTTATGAGTTTACGCGACGATCGATGGTCCATGAACTCACGGACCTGCACGCGTTTCAGTTTCTTTTCGCAAGAAATCCGTGGTTTCGTTTGCATTTTTCTACGCGGAAAGGTAAAATATCGTTTCGGTGGACGCGGTATGAAAATTGAATGCATTTTATTTCGTGTCGCATAATTTCGCAGGGATTCGAAGATACAAAGGTACGTCGTCCCATAGGAAACGGTGCGCGAGGATTGAAATATTGCGGTCGGTGGCGACATCCAGCGGCGAGGCACGAAAATTGCGACTCACCGTGGTCTCCCATGGTATTACGTTCTGTCCAGGAATCTGTATTACCGAGGTTGTCGTGAATTCCCCAGCGAGTCAATTGATTCTACCTAAATAGCTGTATTCGCGTGTAACTTGTACAAATAGATCTATCATTATATTTTAGTTTCATGGCTTGATCTCACGTGTCCCTATTATTCCACAAACTTTCTGTTCCCTAAAATCGAATCGACGATTGTTTTCACATCCTACTTTACCAACGGCGGGTATCTAACTGCATCGAAATCTGGGGGAAAACTAATTCAAGTGTAAGCACTCGATCAATTAAGTACACCATAAATCATTACTAGACTGCGGATTTTATGCGTTTATGGCAAAATTGAGTAGGCGCAATTTAAAACTGCGTCAACGTTAAAAGAAACTGCGAACGTTGATTTTATTAATTTGAACTTATAAAAATTATTAAAGTGGAAAGAAAACTCGCGTTTGACTCCTATGTCTCGTAATCGATGAAGACAATTTTTAGCATAAAGATCCGCAGTCTGATCATTAGTACACTCTAAGTCTGCGAATGAACGTGTATAGCAATGCAAAAGGGAGTTAAATCACTCCAACGATTTTTAAACGAAGGTTAACTATGCTGCAGTAGAAAAGTAACTAAATCGACGTATGTAACTAGTGTGCCAATAAATAAGTAGCAAACGACTCGAACAATTGGATTCCAAGGTGAAATAGTTTTTCTACCCTAAGTCTTCCATCATTCTGAAACCATGCAGATTCTTTCTCGTGCGTGTTCTTGGTCAGTTCCGCGTGACTCATTCTCCTCGACAGGTTTCCGGTTGCCCATAATACTGTGTCCCATACCGATAATCGGTACCGACTGAGAGCAATCTCAGGCAGTGAACATGATCTCGCAGGTGCAGCCATGGGGGAACCAGAACACGTCGGTGTACAGCTGATCGCCACTTCCTTTCAACGCCACTAGCCTTTTCTGCACGAACTGTTGTTTGCACTGGCTGGTGTAGCCCAAAGGCAGAGAACAGATCCCGTTGCACATGGTTTGTCTGAAAGAATGAAAGGTTTGTCAAAATCGTAAAGCGTAAATATTTCTATACACTTTTCTTGTTTTGTATCTTCATATTTTTATCTTAAAAAAAGAAGCCAAATCTGAGCTCTGTGGAGCAGGAATAGGTGACGCATGTGCCGGGAGTAGTGTTTGCAGGGGAAGAAGCTACGCAAGGAGTGGGGGTAGGCGACGCATACGCCCGAGTCCTACACAGCGGCGTGGCGCGACTACCGGGTGAGCATTATACTTCAGCCCGTAGTTAAAACGACCTATCTATTAATTTGCCACTTTTAAGGATATTTTTAAATATTTAGGACATCACGTGCCTTCTACCTCTTAAGCAATGCCAGAATATTCTATATACTTCATAAAGTTCCAAATGCAATTCCATTTATCTGCTTTCACTTACCTAAAGATAATTTTATTAATTTGCAGCTTTATTTCTAAGATGATCAGAAATGTTAGTTAGAACAATTCGACTAATATTTCTGATCATCCAGAAAGTGAAGCTGTAAATTAATAAAATTATCTTCAAGTGAAAGCAAATAAATGGAATTGCATTTGGAACTCTATGAAATACATAGAATATTCTAACTTTGCTTAAAAGGTAAATAGCAGGTGATGTTCCAAATATTTAAAAATATCCTGAAAAGTGGCAAATTAGTAGAGAGGACGTTTTAACTTAGGACGGTAGTATAATGTTCACCCGGTAGACGAGCCACGCCGCTGTGCGGGGCTCCCACGCGTGCGTCGCCTACTCCCACTCCTTGCGTAGCTTCTTCCCCTGCAAACACTGCTCCCGGCGCATGCGTCACCTATTCCCGCTCCTCAGATCTGGCTTATTCTCCCGCGAACGCTAGCCATACCGCAGTTCGATCACTTACGTGCATATCTCCATCTTCACAAGCTGCGTGTACTTCTTAGACTGTTCCTCGTGGTTGACGATGTACATCCAATTTCCCTGGTCGTTCAGTGCTGCCTTCGGCACGCGGTACTGGGTTTCGGTCGGGCAAAGGTAAATTGCTTCAGGATTACCCTGTCTTTTCTGACGTTGCCTGGCCAATTTGCTGTACCTCAACAGCGGGTTCTCGTACAGGGTGCGAGGTGGCGTTTTACTTTCCCGCGTATACCTGGACGGAACATATTCAAATCAGTTTCAAATCGTATTCTGAATCTTTACAAATATTAATAATTTTGCAGATAAAATTTTGGAAATATATGTTCGTATATTTTTATATTTTTGTATTATTTTTTTATACATTTATATTTTATATTTATATTTTTATATTTTATATTTATTATTTTTTTAATATTTTTCCATATTTTTTACATTATATTTTTATATATTTACATATTTTCATTCATCATATTTTGATATATTCACATATTTTTAACGCAGAAGTGAAATGAATTTGTTGAGTCAATATTATAAAAGATTTTCTGACTAACCTATTTTTCAAGGTCAATTCAAGGTCACCGTTTATTTTTTTCTTAAATGCCATCATGTACTTTTAATCTCGCTGTAAGAGGTAGCTGTGACGAGTCTAACGGCTTAGGGTGATATGACCTTGAGGTGACCTCGACTAGATTAAGGCTATGAAATCCAGTTAATCGAAAGAAGTTAAACGATTTTTTGCCAATGCCTTGCTACAGTAATTCCCAGGAAATTTTGATGGGGTCATGTGAGACCCCAAGATACCGGGAAGTTCGAAGAATAATAATCACCTGGGACTCCACCATGCTTGACCCTGATTGAAGGAGTTCAAAGGTTGCGTCCGTGGATGAGCGGGACTATCTGTGCTCAGAAACGGATTTCTGTGGCTTTGATCTGGTGAATTATACCTGTAACTGATCACAGAACGCCGAGCTACAAAATTTTAACCAAGATACATGTCCCGATTACTGCCAGTGTCCCCATAAATGCCACTTCAATGATTTTAATGACTTTAATGGAGAAATAATGCGTGGAAAATAGTGAAGAAAACAAATTTTTAAATTCGAAATTTAAAACATCACGAACAAATTTTTCGAATAAAACATTTTTTCGACTAATATTTCGAACAATTCTTCGAATAAAATATCGAATAAAATTTTATTGGAATAAATAATATTATAAATTATTATTATATATAATTATATATTATATAATTATATTATATAATAAATATATTATAATTATTATAAATATATATTATAATAAATAAATAAATAAATATATATATATAATTATATATATAATATATTATTAATATTATAAATAAATAATAAATTTTATTCGAATAAATTCTGCGAATAAAATTTGATTCGTCTAATCTTTCGAATAACGTTTCGAATAAATTCCATGAATAAAATGTTATTCGTTATTCGAATAAAATCTGCCCACCTCTGGTGGCAATGAAACCATGGCACTCATTGTTATTCGATCAATAACTTTTACTGGGATGAGTTGAAAATAAAGCGTGGTACAAATAGCTGCGCTTCGAACATGATCTGGCGTGTTTTTCGTAAAAATGTGAACAACGGTGAAAGGCGAGGACAAAGAGCGGATCGACTAGTGCCGCGCGGCGAATTAGCATCCGAATTACCCATTTTGTTGAGTGTCGTTCAATGGCGACCCATAAGGCAATGTGGGATGCCCTCGTGGAGGAAACCGTGGCGGCAGGAATGGTAACGACTGCGAGTGTATTTGCGGCTGACCCCGCTGGGGGTAATCGTAACCCTCGGAGTAATCTGGCACCGGCCTTGAACAGAATTTCCTTGATCCTGAACCATTCCTCGAAGCAATCGCGAACAATATGAGACTTTTATGCGGTTACAGTATTGTTTTTATTTAGTGCACACGACGTACAATGAAAATAAGAAAAATAACAAGAATGAAAAATACAAAAACAAAAATCGAACGTAAACGAAAAAAATGGAGAAGATGAAAATAAAAATAAAAAATAAATAAAAATAAATGAAAAAAAAGAAGTAAATAAAGATAAATGAAAAATGCGGAAATAATTGGAAAATAAAAAATGGAAAATATTGTATAAAAATAAAAACCGAACGTAAACGAAAAAAATGGAAAAGATGAAAATAAAAATAAAAAATAAATAAAAATAAATGAAAAAAAAGAAGTAAAGAAATAAGAAGTATATAAAAAAAGATTGAAAAATACAAAAACAAAAAGTCAATTAAGAAGATCGAGAATACAAAACCGAAAATAAAAAGTAAATAAAAAATATGAAAAATACAAAAATAAAAAGTAAATTAAAAATATGAAAAATACAAAAATAAAAAGTAAATTAAAAATATGAAAAATACAAAAATAAAAAGTAAATTAAAAATATGAAAAATACAAAAATAAAAAGTAAATTAAAAATATGAAAAATACAAAAATAAAAAGTAAATTAAAAAGATGAAAAATACAAAAATAAAAAGTAAATTAAAAATATGAAAAATACAAAAATAAAAAGTAAATTAAAAAGATGAAAAATACAAAAATAAAAAGTAAATTAAAAAGATGAAAAATACAAAAATATAGAGTAAATTAAAAAGATAAAAAAGACGAAACCAAAGATAAAAAGTAAATAAAAAATGAGAAGTTCAAAAAGAAAAAGAAAATAACACAAATGAAAAATATAAAAGCAAAGATTAGAAATTAAAAAGTTGTAAAAGAAAACATCTGTCAGCTGTTTATCTCTCTCTCGTTCCAGCTCTGAAAATATCTTCATCTGAACTCGCTATAAATATCCGTCTATAAATGTCTCTACTTCGTCATCGAATGAAAGATTTCACTGCTACTCCCAACTAAGGTCAGCATAAATTATCAAGACTTACCAGCGAGCATTGAAGTCGTCTTTGGACTCGTCCCTCAGCACGGAGCTGAAGTCGAAGCTGCATTTGTCCGCGAGGAACTTGATCAGCTGGCTGCAACAGTTCGAGTAATGTCGCCGTGTTAAGAAAAACTGAAGTAGGACAATAGCGTTCCCTAGGTCGATCGTCGAAACGATCTTCGATCTGCCCAATGCAAATCAGCCGCGACGTTTGTTACGATATCGGGAGTCAACGTGCGAACATCTTGCGTGACCTATTGACACGTGTCCAATAGTATCTGTTTCAGTCGTCGGAAAAAACTGTTTGCCACGCCATGCGTTATTCATGAACGAATGGAACTCGGCCGTGTTTTGTAGAAGGTGTTAACCCTACGTAGTCCAAATTTTTTTGGACGAGTATAAAAAAGCTTATGTAACTTCGAGTCCTTGCACGAACAAAATGAATTAACAGATTTAAAGAATTTATACTGATGGAATTTTCAACAATCTGGGAGGTGAATGGTTGAAACCATTTTTGAATTTAAAATCGAGAACAATCCAAATATATTACTCCTTTTACGTTATTAGAAATATTATCTTGAAGATCAAATCGTGCAAATGAAGTCAAAATTAATTGCTTTTATAGTTCATTTTAAATCATCAAAAAACTGGTCTGCATTACACTTTGATGCTTGTCGGTAACTATATTTCAATTATTTCATTGTGTCTTTAATAAGTTTCAATGTATTTGGGAACAATGTAACGCGCATAACAATTGTAACTTTGGGAAGGTTTATAAAGAAATGTTGACAAATGTTGGACTTCGCACTTCTTTCACATGAAAGTTGAAATCGTTGGGAAGAATATTACGTTTGTTTCAACTGCTACTTCTTGCTACTTTTTAGTTTGTGTTATTTTTAAGAAATGAGCGTCCGAAAGTTAATTTTAATCATGGTTTTGAGAAGGTTTATAAGAAAATGATGACAAATGTTAAACTTGGGACTTCTTTCACACGAATGTTTAAATAGTCAGGAAGAAAATTACGTCTGTTTCAACTGCTACATCTTGCTACTTTGTAGTTTGTGTGATTTTAAACAAATGAGATCAGTACATTCATATTATTATTCTTATATATATTATTAAAACGTCCTGCTGTTTTTGCAACTTTTCGTTTTACCGTATCGTTATTCTCATTACTTCTATTATTATAATTTTTATAATCATAAATAAAAAATTCGCCAATAAACAACTCCTCGTAGTGCAAAGAAAAATACAGAAAATATACTTTCCACAACTACCATTCTATTTTTCTTATAATCAATTGCCATGGTTCCATAGCATTGTGTGTGTGTGTGTGTGTGTGTGTGTGTGTGTGTGTGTGTGTGTGTGTGTGTGTGTGTGTGTGTGTGTGGTACAGCTAGTTTTCTCTTTCTAAAAGCTGAAAAATGTTTGACAACATGTAGTTACGTTTGCCGAGAACATTTCAGAGGCAGACGCGCGAATTGTTTGGGCAAACACGCCGACAAATTTTCGTTCACGTCCCCGAATTCCGTAGAACTTTCTCCGGGCTAGAGATCTGTCCCGATGTATAATTCATGGTCCACACCTAAAAGCTGTTTTCTCGTTTCTGGTTACCGCTATTCCGAGGATTACATTCGTTGCATCTCGATCAGAAACCGTTTCCTGTCTAAAGAACACCAACGCCGACCGACTTTCAGATAGTCGTACCACTATGAATAGTCATGGGATCGTCCACGGACCTCTCGTACGGTATTTTAATGTGTTTCTCGTTCTTGGGATTTTCAGTGAACTTTGTCGCAGCATTTTTTCAACGGCATAATTTCGACGATAATAATATCGTACATCATGGTTATTTAATCTAGTCTCTCTCTCCCCCCCCCCCTCTCTCTTTNGCTAGTTTTCTCTTTCTAAAAGCTGAAAAATGTTTGACAACATGTAGTTACGTTTGCCGAGAACATTTCAGAGGCAGACGCGCGAATTGTTTGGGCAAACACGCCGACAAATTTTCGTTCACGTCCCCGAATTCCGTAGAACTTTCTCCGGGCTAGAGATCTGTCCCGATGTATAATTCATGGTCCACACCTAAAAGCTGTTTTCTCGTTTCTGGTTACCGCTATTCCGAGGATTACATTCGTTGCATCTCGATCAGAAACCGTTTCCTGTCTAAAGAACACCAACGCCGACCGACTTTCAGATAGTCGTACCACTATGAATAGTCATGGGATCGTCCACGGACCTCTCGTACGGTATTTTAATGTGTTTCTCGTTCTTGGGATTTTCAGTGAACTTTGTCGCAGCATTTTTTCAACGGCATAATTTCGACGATAATAATATCGTACATCATGGTTATTTAATCTAGTCTCTCTCTCCCCCCCCCCCTCTCTCTTTGTCTCTCTCTCTTACTTATTCGATTCCTAAAATCTGTTTTACAACTCTGTGTGGGTGAAAGAATAGTTTTTCTAGTCAAAGTGAGTGTGAATTATTTTTCTTATTAGTTAAACGGTTTTTTACTAGTTACATGAATCTTTTACTATGATTCTTGTTTACTAGTTATAGTATGTGACTATGAATTAATTTTACTAGTTAAACTGTGTGACTATGAATTAATTTTACTAGTTAAAATGTGTGACTATGAATAATTTTTTCCAGTTGTAGTTTGTGACTGTAAATTAATTTTACTAGTTCATATGTATCACTATGAATTATTTGTACTAGTTAAAGTATATGAGTGTGGCAATAATTTTACTAGTTAAAGTGTGTGGCTATGAATTAATTTTACTAGTTAAAGTGTGTAACTATGAATTAGTTTTACTGTTTAAAGTGTGTGACTATGAATTAGTTTTACTGGTTAAAGTGTATGACTATGAATTAATTTTATTAGTTAAAGTGTGTGACTATGAATTAGTTTTACTAATGACAGTGTATAAGTGTGACAGTGTTATTCAAGTGCATCATGTGAATAATTTATTTTTACTGGTTAAACTGGTGTGTGACTATGAATTATTTTTACTAGCTAAAGTATATAAGTGTGGCAATATTTTCATTAATTATAGTGCGTGACTGCGAATATTCAATAAATTAACAATCGATTATTATTTTACATTACTATTTCTACAAACATTTAAATAATATTCTGCCTCGTATCGAATTTCAACTTGGCGACCCTTAATCGAACTTATTAATTATAGCCAAAACACTAGTGTGAATTTTCAGATTACTGAGAATTAGAGTTCTAGGGTTACCGGAAAATGACAAACAATACGAGATGTTATCGTTTCCTGTTATGAAGCTCCTCTTTGTGCAAGCAATCGCATTGTGAAGGCATTGTCGAGGGATCGTTCATCGGTGACAAACACTTGAGGCCAGAATTTAGTACCAAATATTCAAGATCACGCAATATAATAATAATAATAGTTAATAATTATATAATATAATAATTTTAAAAAATAATTAAAGTACATCTGCCTCAAATATCGTAAATTATAATAATAACTACTTGAGACCACAAAAGTTGTTACTAAATATTCATGCAATGTAATAATAATGTAATAATCTAATAATAAATCAAAAGTTTCTGACTTCTGTATAATTTGTTGCAATAAATATTGTAAAAAACAATCAAAATACATCTGCCTTAAATATAGTAAATTATAATAACACTAATAATCAACAATTTCTAACCTCTGTATAATTTGTGCGAAGAAATATTTTTAAAAAATAATTAAAATGCATCAGCCTCAATTATCGTAAATTATAATAATTTCAGGCGATACACTGTGCATTCAATGTTTAAGAAACGGACTCTGCTGGAGACAAGTCCTGAGACACTCTACCTCCGTCCTATGTATTTATCTACCACTGACCCTATGAACCCGGGAGAAAGTCCGTATTTTTTAGCTGCCTTAAATTGCAATACGATTCACAATACGATTTCGAAACGATTACGTGTTTATCTGGGAACGTATTTCAAGAGATGACGGGACTGTAACGAACAATGGCGTTCGGTTATAAATCAGATGGGAGTGTTCGAACGGGTGCGATACGCAATGATAACGTGCCTTTGAATAATTAATGATAGCGTGGTGTCGCGTGAGGCCAACAGTGGCCGATTTAAATACTTATTACGGAATCGCGAGCCAAACAAAGTGTCTCTGATCCTCGAACCCGCGCGGCAGAGATCAATTCCATGTATAGGGTGCTCGAACATCGATGGCCTAGTTACCGAGCATGTAAAGTGTTAATTAGGTACCCGATAAAATTCATTCCAGTGCTGGAAAATGATGGTGATCAATTCACGAATGCGTCCACTTATCCTATTTTGGTAAAATTTGAAGTGGTCTGGATTGCGACATTTTCTGGACAAAATTCAATTTCTCGACGACAAAAATATTATTATTGCAACTATTGTGAAATATAACAAATATCGTGTAACAATAATTACTCGACTGCGGATCTTTATGCAAAATAAAAATTCTCGTTTGAAAATCTCCACTTTTTTAAAAACTTGTCCAAAGTTGAAATTTTTATGAACTTGTTCAATGAAAATTGTTATTATTATTATGTAAATAGTGTTTTTAAAATACTGAAATTAATTGCAGAGTCAAATTCGGCGAAAAGAAATTTTGCAGTACTTGAAATTTGAGAAATTGACTTTTGACCACGAAATTCGAGTTCCAGACCACCGCGCGTTCTCATAACAGATTAGGTGTGAGTTAGGGTTAGACAGAAATTTTGGTATTGAATAAAATTCATCCGAATGCTGGAAAAAATTATGGTGTTTATTCACAAATAATTCACAAATTGAATTATTCAAAATTCAATTCGTTGTCAGCAAAAATATTATTATTGCAACTGTTGTAAAATATAACAAATGTCGTGTAACAATAATTACTCGACTGCGGATTTCTGCGCAAAATAAAAATTCTCGTTTCAAAAATTTCATTTCTTCAAAAGCTTGCTCAAAGTTGAAATTTTCTTGAACTTGCTCCATAAAAATTGTCATAATTAATATGAAAATATTGTTTCTAAAATATACTGAATCCAATTACAGAGTCAAAATACGACGAAAAGAAATTTTACGATACTTGAAACTTGAGAAATTGACTTTTGACCACGAAATTCGTGGTTCCAGACCACCGCGCGTTCTGATTACAGGTTAGGTCCGGGTTACTGTGCTCTAACAGGACCCTATTGTAAATAATTGCCGAGTTCGGATAATCGACGTTCGACCGTGGTGCGATGAATAATTCACGCTGCGATAATTTACAATGTAAGAACGATCGAGTGGTCGGCGACAAGCGAAGACGGAGAAGGAAATGGAAATCGGTGAGTGCAAAACGCAACGGTCGTTTCGAGCGATAAATCTCGCGCGTGTACCGCGGATCGATGAAACGTCGGACGGAGCAAGGCTGTCGATCGTAACGGGCCCGATAATTATCAAGCCGAGCGTGACCGCATCAAGGCCACGGTCACGCTGCGATGATTAAGAAATTAACCGTATCGGAACCGACGTAACGGACTTATACAGGTCGCCGCCATTCGTCTTTACGTAATCGACCATCGCTTTCAGATTCCTCGGCGAAGCACAGAAGAACAAGGGAAAAAGTTGATCGAGAAACTTCGTTGGCTATTCCACGTAGCTCCGATCGGATTTAGCAATCGTTTTGACCGCCAAGAGATCTCATTCATTAATCTGGCTTTCGTTACGCGTGTAAAGCGGACGGCGCGAAGTGAATCGACGCTGAATAAATTAATGGCGTGTCTAAGGTCAGACTTCAGTTTCGAACCAAGGACTCGTCCCACGCAGAACAATGAAATGATACACCGCGAGCGAGGAAAGTATTCGAGCCGCGCTATACCGCCGCTGATAAGCTGGGATTGCGAATTAATTTTCGCAGTGGGTCAACTAGGCTGGATGTCCCAATTACTGCCATCTCAAGCTCGTCGCGAAACTTCGGTTAATCATTACAGAAATAGTTTAGCACAAACATCATTCGAATTTGCATTGTAATAATAATTTGCAGCGTTTTTTTTTATCAAGGAAAACTTTGTTATATAACAAATATCAAACGCCGATTGCTAATTCGTTGAAAATACATAAGGAAGTGCAATGTACCTATTACTGTCATGTCAGATATTGCGACATCTACGAAATGGGTATTGGAGAAACACTTTGATTTGAGTGGCTTCTTCAGCTCGATATTTCCTGGTTTCATATTTCTCACATAATTTGTATTTGATCGAGACATAACCTAAATTTAAACTAGAAAGGCAATAACGCACTGTTTTTTTTCGAGCTCGTGTAACGTAAGTCTGCGGTGTTTCGTCTGGGTCACAGTAAGGTTATATCATAGACTTGATTCGAACCTAACCTAGACTTAACTCAGATCTAAGCTAAACCTAATCTATACATATATTTAGGACGTTCGATAATTTATAGTTATGATTTTTAAAATGTCTCGAACGGTATAATTGTAGGTTATACCTAACCTCGATCTAACCTAGACCTAATATAAATTTAGGACGTTTGATAAAAAAAAACTTTTCAACTTCTTTTTGCGAATTTCTTAGAAACTGGACTTGCGTTTATTATTCCATAAAAATTATATTGTCAGTTTTAGAACTATTTATAACATATTGCACAGCACTGGTGCAGCTTTTAACAACAATTACCACGATAAATTTTACGATTTTTCAAATTCTTTATTGCTATTCGTCATTCTACCACTGTCGTTTTTTTTCATTTTTACGATTTCTTCGCGATATTATTTAATCTTGACAGTAAACGGAACCTTTTTTTACTACAGAGACATATTTTTATGTACAGTGCACAATTCTGTCCAGACTGCGTCTCGCTGTTCAGACTGCGTTTCATACTGTGAGACAGCAGGAATTTACAAACGTCTAATATGCGGCTTATTAAAATCTTGTAAGAAATAAACATCCATTAGTTTCGCGTTCCTTGCGAACGAATTGTAGAAAGCCATTACTTTCGCATAAAGATACGCAATCAACTGGTGACAGCATCCGTTTTACGATGCAGTTGCTCAACGCCCAGAGTGGTATTTTCTCGAACCAATCTAGAGGGTGTCCATTTGTGAGTGTTAGTGTTGTTTAGTATTTTGAATTTCGCGCCATTTAAATCTTTTGCACTAGATTGCCATTGTTTACTAACTTTATCTGCAAGTAAACCACTTTCTTCAAATTTTTGTATTATTCTTTTGATTTGCATGTTTGACGAACACTTTTCTCTTCCATATTCTGTACGAAATTCTCTTCTAACTTCAGCATATCTTTCACCAGATTTGTAATAATATTTAATAATAAACAGGCGTCGTTGAATCGAATATTTTCACTTGTCAAATGTCAAATAATATTCAGGGTATCCAAAAAGTTACTCAAAATTGGGAAATAAGGGGTTCCTGAGGTTATTCGAAGTAATTTTTTCCTTAGCGAAAGTGCAATCCGCGGCTTTGTTTACGAGTTATTAACGAAAAACAGTGACCAATGAGAGGCGAGATCAGCTGGCGCGTGGCGGATGGACCAATGAGCAGAACTGGGCTTTGATCGCTCATTCACTCGGCCGCCTCGCGCCATGCGTGCTCGCTTCTCATTGGCCAGTGCTTTTCGTTAATAACTCATAAACGAAGCCGCAGATTGCATTTTCGCTAAGGAAAAAGTTACTTCAAATGACCTCGGGAATCCCTCATTTCCCGGAAGTACCATAATTTTGAGACACCCTTTCTTGACCTATAATACGGTGATCGCCACGTGACCTCGAGGCCAAAAATTTCGACATCGATAAACTTAAAATCGCAGAAGATATCATCTTAAGAAAAATGCTCTGTTCGTCCTAACATTCGCCCTTTCAAACTAAACATCATTTTCACATTATCGAAAACAAAAGTAATCAAGATGTTTTAGTCACAGTATACTCTTGCGAATTTATTGAATACACTGTACATCGAGAAGGTTTAATCACGACCACCGAAAGGAACGTCAGCTAAATGCAAAATTATGAATCGACAAGAGGTCGACCCGTCTCCGAGAAATGTCCTTGTTCACGAAGAAATTTGCCAAAAGCACAGTTCATTGTTCTGTCATTAGTATTCCAAACAGTACCGGTGAAGCCACTCCCGCATACGAAACATGGATTTCGAGAAAGATTTTGGGAAAGTCTCGGAATCGTGATCGCGGAAGTATTGTAGTTCTGGGTCGCGTTCGTGAAAGCCTGCTGAAATAATCTCACCAAAAACACGATTAGCCTAACTTTCGCAATTTGAAACACTTCTGCGAAATCAGTTCTTTCACCTTGATGACAAAATCCAACGCCCATTAGGTTAGATAAAATCGAATGTGTATATTTTCTTATTTGAAGTTGGAACATTTTTTGGTCAAACATTTTTTTCTATACCAGAAAATATTGTTAAGAAAAAACCCATAGAATTCTGTGTTTCCTAACAATACGCGTACGAAATACGTTTCTTTCTTTTCGAGGTTATATTTGGGTTACGCGTACCGTAGTTCTACGTATTCGGTTCGTTCATTGTTAGAAAACAGACGATTCCACGAATTCTTTCTAAACAATACTTTCTAATGTAGAAAAAATGTTTTCTTTTTCATCGAATCTGCGTATCCATTGGAAACAGTACAATGTGCTAGTTCGAAGTTCTGTTGGTTGCTGGGAAGTGTAGCCAACTTCAAACGAGAAAATAAGAACTGGCTACACGCGGAACACCTAACC